AACAACACAAGCAAAATAGGAGAAGTAAAATTAAAAAAAAAAAAAAATACAAATTAGGAGCGAGAAGCAGGGGACAATTTCTTTCTATTTTCATGAGTGATGAATGTAATGCCCTGACCACTGCTGTTACAGGTTTCTTATCTGCAATTCTGAAATTGTCCCCTCTGGGCAGTTTACAATTGAATCATGCAGGCTACACATTGCTCACCGACCACCTAGCCCCCAAAAGCTGGGTACTCATTTTATCAACCTCAAAAGGACGGAAGGCTGAGTTAACCTCGAGCCGGCTACCTGGGATTGAACCCCAGGTTGTGAGCACAGTTTTGGCTGCAGTACAGCAGTTTAACCACTGCGCCATGAGGCTCCTCAGTAACTGTAAGGGTAGCTCCAGAAAGCAAAAACATGCTACTTCCTAATTCTAGATGGCATCCAGAATAATTTGCACAGTGACATGTGTGTGTTGTGTGTTTAGTCGTTTAGTCGTGTCCGACTCTTCGTGACCCCATGGACCAGAGCACGTCAGGCCCTCCTGTCTTCTACTGCCTCCCGGAGTTGTGTCAGGTTCATGTTGGTTGCTTCGCAGACACTGTCCCGCCATCTCATCCTCGGTCGTCCCCTTCTCCTCTTGCCATCACACTTTCCCAACATCAGGGTCTTTTCCAGGGAGTCTTTTCTTCTCATTAGATGGCCAAAGTACTGGAGCCTCAGCTTCAGGATCTGTCCTTCAAGTGAGCATTCAGGGTTGATTTCCTTTAGAATTGATAGGTTTGTTCTCTTTGCAGTCCAGGGGATTCTCAAGAGTCTCCTCCAGCACCACAATTCAAAGGCATCAATTCTTCGGCGGTCTGCTTTCTTTATGGTCCAGCTCTCACTTCCATGCATCACTACAGGAAAAACCATAGCTTTGACTATTCGGACTTTTGTTGGCAAGGTGATGTCTCTGCTTTTCAAGATGCTGTCCAGATTTGTCATTGCTTTCCTCCCAAGAAGAAGGCGTCTTTTAATTTCGGGGCTGCTGTCTCCATCTGCAGTGATCATGGTGCCCAGGAAGATAAAATTTGACACTGCCTCCATATCTTCCCCTTCTATTTCCCAGGCGGTGATGGGACCAGTGGCCATGATCTTAGTTTTTTTGATGTTGAGTTTCAGACCGTTTTTTGCACTCTCCTCTTTCACTCTCATTACAAGGTTCTTTAATTCCTCCTCACTTTCTGCCATCAGAGTGGTATCATCTGCATATCGGAGGTTGTTGATATTTCTTCTGGCAATCTTAATTACGGCTTGGGTTTCTTCCAGTCCAGCCTTCCGCATGATGTATTCTGCATATAAGTTAAATAAGCTGGGGGACAATATACAGCCTTGCCGTACTCCTTTCTCAATTTTGCACCCCCACCCCCCGGGCAGCGGAGCCTCCTCGGTGGCGGCGGGGGTCAGCTGCGACCTGGTGGACGTGGCCGCTCCCCCTCGAGGCAGCCCCAGCTCCCTCCTGCCTACCCTGCCGGAGTTCTTGTTGTTGTTGTTGTTAAAGAAAAACAATCTCAATAATAATTTCTCAATAATAACGCTGACATAAAATGTGGGTACATACCATACAATACTAGCCCTCCCCCCGCCGGTGCCACCATCACCCTCGGGGGGCCATATACCCAAATATATCATTTTAATCTCTTTTCACCCTATTCCACTCCAAAAATACATTGATTCTTCTGCTGGCTTATGACCTCTCCCTTTCACAAAAACCTAATTCAAACATGGATTCCGGACCTCTTTGAAATCATTGTATTTTGTCACTCCCTTTTATTTTTATTTCACATGTTAGCTTATCATTTATTGCTAAACTCCACATTTCTTTATAGCAATCTTCAAGATTAATTTATTTGTCATATTTCTAATATTTTGTAAATGTTAGTCTTGCTGCTGTGACCATTATAACGATTAGTTCTTTCTGTTCTTTTTAAAGATTATCATTAATTTTATTTAAAAGTGCAATAATTGGTGATATTTCAATATTATATCCAATAATTTCACTATTTTTTTAAAAAAAACAAGTGCCCGTTCTTTCTTATTTTGCAAGTCCAACACATATGTAAATACCTTTCTTTTTTCCTTTTTACATCTCCAGCATGGACATGGTACGTTTTTATTTAAAATATTCACTCATGGGGTAAGGTACCATCCCCAAGCGATCTTCTAACAATTTTCTTTTACCCTTATGGACATATTCTACATTATTCTTTGTGATCATATTTTGTTCCAATCCTCACTTTTAACCTCTTCCTCAAAGTCCTCTTGCCACTGGTTTTCCATCATAGCTTTTCCATATCCAACATTTGTTAAAGTTTTATAAATCACACTTACTGTGCCCTTTCTTTTATTTCCTTCCTCTTGAACTTGTCTTTGCTCTATAATCTCCTCAAATTTAGTCAATTTTCTAGTTTCTCCTACTTTTTTAGACCACTCCCTTGTCCAGCTCTCCATTTGGAGTATATTTAGCCAAGATATTCCCCCCCCTTCCTTTCCCATAATTTCCTTTATAGTACTGTATTTTTTTATCTTGCATCTTTTCCATCCAAGCCCTTATTGTATTTAACCCTTTCTCTACTAGTACACTTCTTTTAAGTCTATTTTTAAGGATTTGGGGGAAGCTCTGAGCCTCCGCTACTTCTTGTAGTGGTGAGATAAGTGGACTCACTAGGCATCTGTTATTCTTTCCAACATTCCCCCACGTTCCTCAGTCAAGTGAGCAGGCAGATTATCACCAGAGGAAGAAGGGCTGGAGAGCATCATCCTCCTCTCGGGAAGGAGAGAGAGAGAGTGGGGGGGCGCGCGCGGTTCCCCTCGTGAGTAGCCTCGGTTGCTCCCGCGGGGCGGTCGCCCGGAGGGGCGGACTCGGCTCGGTGGGGCTCAGGGGCCTGCCTCCGCTCGGGTCGGGGGCTGGCCACGGGGAGAGGGGGGGGCATTTGCCACAGGACGAAGCAAGAACGAACGAGAGAAAAGGGCGCTCCGTCCCCGCCTCCCAGTCGCCTCCCGGTTCGGCCCGAGAAGGGGCGGAAGGGCAGC